CTCCAGTAGCTCCATGTCCTTGTGCTGTTGGTGGCCCCAGCACTGGAGGCAGCACTGCAGGTGGGGTCTCAGGAGAGCAGAGCAGAGGGGCAGAATCCCCTCCCTCCACCTGCTGCCCACGCTGTTCTGGGTGCAGCCCAGGACACAGTTATTGGCCTCTGGGCTGTGAGCATGATGTGTTAGTGCTGGTCTTTGGATGTCTGTATTGAGCACTGTTTTATTTTGAGGGGATTTTCTGGGTATGTCGTGTTAGTTCAGAGTTTCTGCATAAAGCTGAAGGGTGTCTGAGGAACCATTTGAAGAGCTGGGAAACAATAGCTTTTTAAATTTCAAAAGTTCATAGTGCAGGTAAGTTCTTGTCTGGATTTCCTTGGCTGCCACAGTAAGTATCATTAAATCAGCAGTTTGTTTTTGACTTGTCTTGATGGATCCATCACTCACTTCACAGTTCAATGCTTGGCCTGTCAGTGCTCTGCTGCTGTGATCGTTGCTGTCGTGCTGTCCCTGAGTAAGGTAGATTTTGGCAGGTGGTAAAAGAGGAGTGAATGTGAACAGCAAAGAGGAAGGCTGCTTAAAAGGGATTCAATGAAAACACTTGAGCTACAGTCTTAATTCTCTGCATTGATCTTTGCAAGTTCTCCATTGTGTTATGTTTGCTGTGAAGTTAAAATCCGATGAATAATCGGGTCATGTACCTGAGATGTCAGCAGCACCGTGTGACTGGTGCTGTGATGTCCTAACAACTGCAGGATTTTACAGTCTGAAAGAATCTCTATCCAAGGAGAACAGTTCATTCTCTTGCACCACTTCATAATGATATCTGATCCCTATATACGGGCTAAAATGACTCTTAACTTCATGTATTTTCATAAAGCAACATCCTTGAAATCACTTTCTCATTTTAAGTAGAAATAGATAAACCTAAAAGCAGCTGCAAGAGCTGCCTGAAACTTTCTCACAACTAGTAAACTTGCTGTTTGACTCATTGCTGAAGTTACTCTTACTTTGAGAGTGGCCTGCATGCAGGAGATACTTGGATACAAAGTCAGCTGGAAAAACTCCCTCCTTTTTCTTTAAATCATCAGTCGTTTGAAGTGAAATTAGAAATAAGATAAATTTAGAGCAAAGAGGTCAGTAACTTTGACAAATCTTTCCAAAAGTGTATTAGAGCAGCCCCTCAAACGCAGTAGACTTGCTACAAGCTCCCAGGAGTTTTTGGCATCAGTTATCTTGCTAAACTAAATTTAATGAGACCTTTGTCCCAAAAAGCAACTTTCAAATACATCATTTGAGCCAGCCTGGACTCTGTCTTTTAGCCTGATTGTGCCAGGAGACTTGGGAGACCTCTGCTCCTCAGAGTGTCTTCTCCCCATTTCCATGTAGATCGTCTAACTTTTTCTTCAGTGTCTAAAAAAAAGGCCTTCATCTCTATAAAAATGGTGAAATAGTGGAAGACTCACATCATTCTTGTTCTTTAAGTGCTTGGGGATCCTCTCAAAGCATTATGAGCTTCTCTCCTAGGCTGTTGGGCAGACTTTGCTCTCCCTTCACTTCTGTAACACAGCCTTGAGTTATTAATCTGTTACATATCTGTTCCTTTCCTCAGCCACTGATTGGGACAGGCTGGAAGGAAGGAATGCAGGAACATCAAGCAATTTTCACATTTTTTTTCTTCAGTTTAATGCTTCTTCCTCCTTTTGTTACCAAAAAACCCCCCAAACAGTGGTTTATTGTAGTGGTTAATTGGGAGGATTGCATGTGGCTTGTTTCAGAGGACGTGCATGTAGGAATTGCTTTCATCTGGGAGTGCTTCAGAGTAAAGTTTTTGGGGTCACTAGAGGGGAAGATGGTGAGGGAAGCGTGTGCTTGTTGTGTAAATCCCCTCTTTAAAAAAAACAAGCTTCATCATGGGTTTCTGGAGTGGTTTGACTGTGGTTTCCCACCCCTGTGCAGGATGGGCTCTATGAGTGCATCTTATGCGCCTGCTGCAGCACCAGCTGTCCCAGTTACTGGTGGAATGGGGACAAGTACTTGGGTCCTGCGGTACTGATGCAGGTAAGGACAGATCCCATTTGTCACTTGGGATTGCTGAGGGACTCCCCATCTAAAAACCATCCGAATATTTGTGGGATAGTGTTACACAGTCCATCTCCTGGCCCAAAATTCCTCAGTTAGGTGTTGCTTTTTGAAATCTCACCCCGATTACAACACCTTGAAGAAGCCTTTGGTGTGTCGAATGCCACTGACTTTCAGGCCTATCGCTGGATGATTGACTCCAGAGATGACTACACAGAGGAACGCCTGGCACAGCTTCAAGACCCATTTTCTCTCTACCGTTGTCACACTATCATGAATTGCACAAGGACTTGCCCTAAGGTACGTGTACAACGTGAGTGTGGCCCTTCTGGGCTTACTGAGTTATTTCCAAGGTGTCTCTTTCAAACCAAGAGGAAAATATCTGCTTAAGCTTTTGTTTTCCTCAGGTTGGGTTGTTTTCCTCAGGTTGGGTTGTTTTCCTCAGGTTGGGTTGTTTTCCTCAGGTTGGGTTGTTTTCCTCAGGTTGGGTTGTTTTCCTCAGGTTGGGTTGTTTTCCTCAAGTTGGGTTGTTCAGTTTGGTTTTTAAAACAGTGAGTTACCAGCGATGTCGCTGCTGATAGTGACTGTACAAGAGGATGTGGCAATGTTTGTATTGCACATCACAGGAGGATCTCTTCCTCCTGAGCAAGGTTGTGACTTTGAGAACCTGTCTGTTAGTTCTGTAGGATTTAGTGTGACAGTAAGACCCTGGGTGTGTGAGGGACACTGCCAGAAACAGCACAGGGAGGTTTGTCCTGCCTAGTGCCATCAGTGATGTGAGCTTTGTGAGTCATACATTTAACCCACGCACGGTGTAACCTTAAACTCCCCAACAGTAGCAGCTATCACCAATAATATTGTGCAATTGCTGTAATGGAGAAGACTACAACAAGTTTTTGGCGCCTTTGGGGGATGTGTTTTATGCTGACATCCCGTCAGGGCATTTCCCAGAAGGTCTGTTCTCTCTAGTGAATTTCTTTGAGAACAGAGCAAGCTTTTTTCAAATCAGAGCGTGCCTCTTCCTCATCTTGCAGTGACCTTGTGCCTGTTGTTGGGCAGATTATCAAGTTTTGCTTTCCTGCCAGCTGTGCTGGTTTCTAACCAGCCTTTGTTTGCACTTGGTAGTGGAGTAATTCTCCTTGAGCTGTGAAATGTTATGAAGGCAAAATGTTTTGAGTGGATCATAGATGTGGGGAAGATGAGGTACTCGAGATTTGGGTTGGCAGGTGTTGGTCAGGAGCACTGCATGCTGATTTTTTTTCTGTCTTTTTTAGAGCCACCAAGATGATGAAGGGAGTGGAGCATCTCCCTGCTGAGGAAAGGCTGAGGGAGCTGGGGCTCTTTAGCTTGGAGAAGAGGAGGCTGAGGGGTGACCTCATTAATGTTTATAAATATGTTAAGGGCGAATGTCAGGAGGATGGAGCCAGGCTCTTCTCAGTGATGCCCAATGGTAGGACAAGGGGCAATGGGTGTGAGCTGGAACACAGGAGGTTCTGCTTCAACTTGAGAAGAAACTTCTTTCCAGTGAGGGTGCCAGAGCCCTGGGGCAGGCTGCCCAGGGAGGGGGTGGAGTCTCCTTCTCTGGAGACATTCAAGACCCGCCTGGACACCTTCCTGTGTGATCTCATTGAGGTTCCTGCTCTGGCAGGGGGATTGGACTGGATGATCTTTTGAGGTCCCTTCCAATCCCTGATATTCTGTGATTCTATGAAAATGATTCACTAAAAAACTAATTCCCCCTTTGTCCAAGGAGCTAGCTCGTGACCTGGTGCCAACCATTGTTCAGCTAAAGGTGAAGGTTCAACCTGAAGATCTGGTTGTGTGTAGGAATGTATGTAGCGCAGGGAAATAATGCTTGGTGTGAAGTTTGAGACACATTTATGGTTAAGAACACATTTCCACTCACATGCTTTAATCCTGGCTGTTGTCTCAATCAGCTCTGAAAGGCTGCATGGTGAGCTCTGCACTCGGGTCATTTCCTGTTCGTTCTCTATCCCGCGGTGCTGCGGCCGTAATCACAACGCTATGGCAGAGCAGTTGTGATCCCTCTCTCATTTGGGGATTAGACATGCTTGGTTTGGTAACAGTGCTGCAGGATTAAGGGCCATGTGTCTATATTATAGAGAAACCTTCTTAGGAAAGCTGAGCTGGCTTTTTTTGAGGAGCGTTTTCTTGTGACTTGTTCTTCTTGCTCACTTCCCTACTGTCCTCCAGTACACTGCTTTTTTTTTAGTTCAGACAAGGAGAAAAACCACATCTCTTGTACTGTCACTGTCAAGCTTTTACAAGGCAGTTTCCTGCCTCCAAAATTCATCTTGTAACACCCATAAAAGTGTTGAATTCAGTCCTGCTTGAGCTTTATTAAAAGTTCCTATCGCTCAGCCACTCATCCTCCTCTTTGATCCTCGCGTTGCCGATTAAAACCAGTTTTCCAAAGTCAAATGAATGGGGGTTTTTGTTTGGTTTTGGTTTGTTTTTTTTTTTTTTTCTTCAAACAGTGGGAAGTGCAGAGCCTGGAGTAGAGACGCAGTGGTTCAGCCTCCAGGTAGAAGTGTTGAGCTCCCAGCACTGTGTCTCTACTCCAGGCTGGTTTGTTTTTCCTTTGTAAATTGAGGCTGGAACACAGCGAACCTGCATCAGCACATGTTCACTGAGGAGTTGTGTGTACCATAGTGCCCAACCTGCCTGGAGCAGGCTCTGCAGAGCTCTCCCTCAGTATCCTGTAACCTTCCAGCAATTGAAAGAAAGCCGCATATTGGGCTGGACTCCAGCTTTTAGGAAAAAAATAAATAAATTAAAATGCACTGAGCACCTCCTCTGCCAGCAGTTTTCCTGAGGAGCAGCATATTTATGAGTTCAATATAACTTATATCAAGGCAATGGGGGGAGGATGCTCTAACATGCTGATTTCCAGGGGAATTAACTGATTTTTTTTTTTTTCCTTTTTAGGGTTTGAACCCTGGCAAAGCAATTGCTGAGATCAAGAAGATGATGGCAACTTACAAAGAGAAGGCGGCTGCTGCGTAATGCTGTTCGTAAACTGGAAGTGTAACACACAAACATGCTTTACCTGAGAGTAATTTACACCTGATTTAACAAGTGAAGGTTCCAACAGGGAGTTTGGCCTTTTTCCTATAGGTTTGCATGTAAAATAAATACTGTAAAGAACAAATAAGAGTTGTTACTTTATTAACAATATCAAATTGATGCTTCTGCCTCTGTCGTAGAATCCCCAACCTCGCTGGTTTCAGCAGCTGGGGTCACCTCTGAGGTTCTGCTGTGGGATGAGGATTTGAAAGTGGCTCCACAGCAGAAATGAAGAGAAGCAGAATTTCTGTGGAGACCTTAATCCTTTGTCTTTAAAATGAATGTGTGGGGAAAAACCTGCAAGCAAGAAACCTGTGACAGATAGCAAAAAGAATGGGAGCAGCTGGGAAAGAGGAACGTTGGAAGAATCTTCCCCAGCCCTGAAATCCCCTGAGCTCCTCACTTTGCTCCTTGCCGAGGACCTGGAGCTCAAAGGGTGCAGGCAGGTGGCAAAATACCAGTGGCGGTGCCACTGGGAAAGAGGCGTCTTGTCTCTGCCCTGCTGAGATGCTCATTTTTATTCCAAGTCCTAAAGTGGATGAGATTTATTAGAACAAAAT